CATAATGATCTTACCTACTAAATATTAGAGGTTATAACTAATATGTGAAACTTCAAATTGAGTAAAGAGAAGAGTTTTGAGTTTCTAATGATGAGGGTACCTTATGAAATCTTATCGCACCATTGGCGTTAGTACCAATATTTTAAGCTATTGAGCTTAGCACTAATACATATGTTAGAGTCAGATATTCAGAGCTTATATGACCATGTAAATAAGGAAATTACTAAAAAACACCAAGTATCAAAAGCGGGTTAATAAATTCAGTTAAGCTATGACTTTCAAAGAGGGTGTGTCAATATGGATTAGGCTGAAGGAGCAGTTTCACACAGTTTTTTTTTGGGAAACTCAAGCCTAGAGTAGACGGTTCTTTCAGGATTGTTAAGATGCATACAAAATTGTTTTGGCAGGATTCTACAATATTTCTGCTACATTTAAAGCTGTCAACTTGTTACTTTATAATGAGAATTCAGATTCCTCCAACAAAAAAGGCGAAGGAGTGATGCAAGACCTCTTCCACAATACTTAGCCCCGCGGTATCACGATTGCGGGATCCCTCAATTGTGGTATGGAACTAGGACTTAATACCGTCCCGGGGGATGTTTATTGTGGGATTTTCTTGCTATGTGGGCTGCACGTTCATTTACATTCTCTTCTAATTAGAGTTTAATTTAGGAATTAATATAAATATATTATGCTCTGTTTTCAGTTCCATTGCTATTTTACAATCACCTCCTCACTAAATCCATTTTAAACACCCAGGAACCCTAGAACACTGTCAAAGAATCTATGTATTCATTGTGTTGCTTTAGATTTTTTCTGAAGGATGCGGTGGTTCAAGCTTTTACCAAGCATTGTTTTAATTTTTCTGAATTTCTTTGAGAAGCTTGCTTTGAATTAAGATTTGTGCTTGATTACATTGTGATTATCGTGATGTCAACAAAAACTCGACACATGGATATAGTGAACACTAGTTTCCTGATTAAATGAATAAGAATGCAAGAAAAAAAGAAAAAGGTGCAGAAGCACGAGGTCATTGCCATTTTAAAAAAGAGAAAATAATACTATTAAAGCTACATCGATCCAATCAAACAAAGAAGAGATCAAAACAGGCATTGTCCCTTTTGATGCACTGAACTGAAATCCATAAATAAATTTCATACCAAGTGAAAATTTGATTGAATAGAAATAGCTTAATTTGATTGTGAACTGCTTTAAATCCAAAAAACATGTAGTTGTGCATGGTGTTTAAATTTATTAAATCGCCTATTATTGATGAAAGCTTAAATCACTAAACTAAGGCTTCATTCGATGGAGCTTTGGTTTTTCCCAATGTTTGTTGAGAATACGTTTTTTGAAAAGCTGTGTTTTGAAGTTATTAGGAAACAACAGTTTGATATCGGAACAAATTATTCTTTCTTAGAAGACCTTTTATAAATAGAAGTATTACAACCAAATAAAAATAAATGAATTTCTAACTTTCTGTGCATCGGAAAGCACTAAAAAACCTACTCCAAACAAGGCCTAAACTCATCATGCTTTTGAAATTTGTCTTTGCATCTAAACTCTATGGATTGTACTCGCATGCTAATAATTCTGTTAGGTTAAATGGATTTCAGTGTCATTTCTACAGTAGTATACCGATTTTTATTTTTTAAATTTCTTTGATGCTGTTGCTTATATTTAATTCTACTACTGTGTAGGTGCCCTTTGGATACACAAGAAAAGATGTGATCCTAATTGGGGTTGGTCTCACTGTGATAGGTGTTGGTCTGAAGAGTGGTTTGGAGGTATTGCTGCTTTTATTTCTTCAAATAGTGTTGTTTTCAATCCTCGTTCCTATATGATAACTGCTTTATTTCTACTCTTTGGCCTTTTTTCTGTTTTCAATCCTCGCTATCTGATAACTGCTTTATTTCTACTCTTTGGCCTTTTTTACTTTATTTTTCAGTTTGCCGGAGTAGACCCCTTACAGGCTGGGAATGTAGTGCAGTTGGTGTTGGTCTTGGGTCTAACTGTTGGATGGATTTTCACTTACATTTTCAGGGTATCAAACAAAGACATGACTTATGCACAACAATTAAGAGACTACGAGAACAAAGTGATGGAGGTTAGTAAAGCAATTTGCGAGCTGACAGTTTCCAATAATTTCATTTCTTTTGTTTTAATGAATAATGCCAAACACTTTCCTATTGCTCTTTCTTATTCGATGAAATTGAAGTTTTTATTTGATAATATAAAACCATAGTATATAAATCAGATTTGGTGTATTCTTTTCTATCTATGAAGAAATCATGCGCTGTTTTTTTTTTTTAAATGTTGGTATGCCCTGAAATTTAATTTTTTGTTTAATAGTATAAAGTTAGTTTCCCTGCAATTGATTTATTTTCCACCCAAAAATAAAGAAATCCTATAATTCCTAGGTTACGTATGCATGGTGCCTCTCAACCCAATCCCACATTCTCCATTTTTTTTCCTCTTCATAATCCCCTACCCTTAGGGTTACCCATGTGCTCATCATGCATCTCAAGCCACCCCCGCAACTGCAGTCTTAGTCCGTATCCCTCTCTTCCATTCTTTTCTGCTTCTTCTTCACGATCTCATAGGTTTACACGCACACTACGAGTCTTGACCCACTTCCGCAATCAGAGATGAAACTTGCCTCTATATTGAGGGTGAGCAAAGTTTTTATATAAAAAAAAAAAATATTAAAAAGATATAATAGATAATACCTAATTTA